TAAACACGCTGTCCATGAAGAGCACACCACACAAGCATAGTAAGGAGCCTTAGAAAGGGTTCTTGAAGCATGGCTTATAGTGATTAGTAACAAATTCGAATAGGGTTCATGAAGTTTGCTAAGCCATGTAGTGATTTATAAATTCGAACAGGGTTCATGAAGTTTATTGTACCATACAGTTATACTAGGCCCAGCGAGAGCAAGGATTGGCCTCAGTGGCACCACCCAGGGGCCATAATTAGAATAGGTTCTGGTGGTTATTATCCCTCAGCTATATGGGATTATACGGGGATGCTACTAACCCTTCAGACCCGTACCGTAATGCTCGGGCAAGTTCGACAAAACTAAGATCAAAGCCGAAAGGGCTCTACCCCAAACCCAAACAGACCCAACCTTGAACCCTACAGTAAAGTCCAAACCCTAAGCTTGCAGGGCCGCCAGGCGGCGATCTCAGCCACCTGACGGACGGCATCTGCAGCCGCCTCTGCTTGCTGATCCGAGGAGCGGCCTCCAGGGTCTTCCAAACCAAAGCCCTTGTAGGGTTTAGGGTTTAGGGTAGCACCCTTCCCGGAAACAACCACCGTCTCATGACCAGCATCACGTTTCCTCGGTGCTCATTTAAACTTCGCGACGACCACGATGCAGACGGGGACGACCCACCACCGCCAGAATAGCTACCAAAGCCAACAGTTAAAGCCTCTGCAGCAATGGCAACCAAGACTAGGTGTGCAGCTAACCAGCAGCAGCGACGACAACGACGACCCTTACGTGCAAAATCTGACCACAATCGTCACCGACATGTTGATGATGGAAACAGCCATGGACACAGTATGTCTTGAAGATGAAGTTGCTGCCGGCCGGACATGCAACACCCAACACCTGCTGGATGGGTGATTCGAAGATGCTCGGAGCTCTATTGTCACAGAAACGCTGGTTTTCAACTGGAGCTGCTGCCCAAACGAATCCAGCCAAACTACATTTGGTGCATTTTCCAGTGCGTCTGGGTGCCGGACCTAGTTGTCTCATCCCATCTGCTGCCACAGCCGTAGCCACATCGATTGCGATGCGGATTTGTCGTGTTATGTTCTGGGCGGCGCCCTCAGAGGCATCTGCAGAGCATGCTATGGCATGAGCAAGTCTGCACTCAGTACGACTATAACCCGACACACACACACACAAAAACAAACTGCCTGCTCAATAGTTATGCGGTCCGATGCTTTCTCGGTGGTTCTTGCGCCAGTAGCCGAAGTCTACTTAATTAATTTTCGAAGGAAGACGCAGCTACGGCCGTGCTATGCCCAAACATCTTCAAGCACGAGACAGGAGTATCGTAATGATTACATGCACTACCATTAGTGCCCTTTTTTCTTATGGACCGCTTCGTGCTAATATCGCCGGGAAGGCGCCGCTGCAGCTTCCTTTGCTGACGCGGCGGCTTCAACGGCCTGAAACGGCCAAAAGCTGCAAGTGTGCTCGGCTTCAGAGTTTTGACTTGGGGTTGCAAGGCATAGGGTTTGGTTGATTACCCTTCGAGACGTCACAAGATTTAGGAATATTTCCAAGCTCGTTCGGTAAAGATTTTAGAGGAAAAAGTCAGCATCGGCCATGTTGGGACCCAACGCAATCGCAGGTCTCTGCAGAGACTTTGCGCTAGTGCGGATTGAACAACTCGAGTTGTAACATTGTACTACTGTCATAACCACCTAGTTTACACGTGACATGTATAAAAGCCCTGTGCACGGCTTCGGGTTTTCCCTCCCGCGTGCAGCCCTTTTCACAAGAGATCGCCACGGGGGCTGGAGGAGGTCACCAGTTCAAGAGCTTATAATTTTAATTTATGTGTATATATATATATAATTATGTACATTTGTCTTTATGTATTTATCTATGTATTTTGTAGTTATATGCCTAACTTACCTACAGGATTCAGGATGCTACATGATACAAGAGCTTTTGAAGTTGTCTTCCTTCATTGATCCGTTCTTTTCTGTCGGCCCCGTGCAGCCAACAGAGGGTTCAGGCCTGCTCCACCGGAGCTTTGCCTTTCCGCCGCAGTGCGGAGACCATGAAGGAAGAGGCAGCGGAGACAGCCGCTACTGCTTGCCTGTCCACGTCGAAACCTCAAAACGAGGATGATTTTCAGGGTCTGAGAGTGAGGGTCTATGGAGGCTTTATGGGTTGCAAAGCTTAGGGCTTCAGGGTTTAGCCGTTCAGGGCTGTGTCTCTGGATTTGTGTTATCATAAACTCGAGACGACTTTACAGGAAAAGCGCTCTCCGAGTTCTACGAGTTCTCTCCGCAATAGTACAGCTCCCACCAATTCAGGCCACAATCAAACCAATAGCCTCGGCTACAAGGGAATCATCACATAGAGCTCAACTCCAGACTTCGCGGAACCGATGCGTGTACCGCAATGATGCCACGCGGCCAAGCTTTGCCACAGCCTGCTGCGCAGCCCAGGCAGCTTGCTGAGCGCATTTCTCTACCGGCAGGTGCAGGTCCTGAGCGAGTGGCAGCGCTCCCTGCTGCCCCAGCAGATCGGATATGTTCAGCCGTCCCACCCAGGACGTACGGGAAGTATGAAGGGAGGAAGGGCAGAAGCCAAGGTCCCCTCTGCTCTCCTCCTTTCTGTGCTGGGCTGCAGTATACATACCCTCCATGCTACCAGCTGATGGCGATAAAGTAGAAGGCAAAGGCTAGCATGAGAGTCGTCGTAACCCTCGGCCACCTTGAAAAGCCTTCATCGCTTCGGCTCGTCATTTTACGGCGCATGCATTTGAATCCACCGCTACCACCCCGCAGAACATGCCAGGGATTCCTACGCTCACGGCAAATAGCTAGTAGTAGCTCTTGGAGCACCGGGTACAAGGGCTCGGGACCGGAAGGCCTACAACATGCTCCGGCCTGCGTGCCGCTGCTGGCTGCTATGGCAGCAGCTTTTGCTGCCAAGTTCTTCTGCTCCTCCCAGAACAGTCAACACCAGGCTCTCATCAACTAGACTCCGGTCTTAGGAAGCCCGGGTCTAAGCCGAATCTCGCTTGGCATCTGGTAAGGCAGGGCCCACCGTTTCCTCTCTCAGTAGAGAGATCGGACGAGGATAGTACCGAGGCTTTGTTATGGAGTCACCGCCTTCGCATCCAGCCCCATATCTTCCGCCGCGTGCAGTGTGGCAGTCGCGGCTTCCATCACGGCATCTCGGATTCCTGCAGCAGAGCGAGGAAGTTCTTTGGTAAGGGACCCAAGTAAGTGATTAAGGTATACATATACGGAGCATCGGAGCATGTAGGCAAATGAGAAGATACCAACACCGCTTGGGAGAAAACCTTGCAGAAGCCATGGCTCCGGCATTCTGGAACCGTACCAGCCCTGAAAAAGTGCTGTAGATGAACAAAAATCCACAGCCTGCCTTTCCCAAGCCGCGAAGTGTACTCCGCAGCCACCTGTATTTCATGCGGTTTCACATGTACTGGGTTCGGATGAGCGTTGTGGGTCGGAAATCAGCATCGTGTGTACCTTGCCAGTCGCTTCAAATGCAATCCTCCTCTCTGTGCACAGGCGAACACATTTGGTGCGGGACAGCTGCTCACATGCTCAAACCTGTATTTCCAAGGATGCACGTCAGCAAGCTCATCAGCTGACACGACTTTTCTTGTTGTTTCTTCTTCGCCGTTATCATCATTACTGATATCAAATTAAATGGTACCAGAACTCGTGAAGAGCTGGGCTTTGGCCTGGCCAGACACGAGGGGCACGATCTCGGGCTCGGCGCCTGAATCGTTTCACTACTTCAGAAGGAGATGGTGACTGCAAATGTTACCAGATACGTATGTACATATATGTGCATACATAGCGTGTTGTCCCGTATCCACATAGATGCTGCAGGCAGTTTATGTTCGTGGGATTGTGGGTATACGCCTAGACGCAGAGGGACGAAAATCACTAGAAGAGGCTTGGGGTATGGTCCACGAGTAGTTCTACATGGGTGTTAATGCTAGCTGTAGGCTCGTACAGTACTGGATTGTCATGCCATATTTTGCGATATTATCTTTCTCGTGGTGTCGGTGCTGTAGGGTGCACTCCCGTCGATGAGAGCCCTGAAGACCGAAACCCTGTTCGCCCCAAAAACCCTGAGACAGACTACCCTTCCCGCTTGGCGTTTTGCTACTGAAGTCGCACGGCCTTTAAGATCTCCTTCCATGGCCGTTTTGGTGGCCGCCGTGGCTGCGAAAAGCTGTTCGGCTAGGCCCAGGCCCTCCTGCTGCAGTTTGTGGGTTACCCAAAGGGTCCAAGTACTTATATGGTAGGTACTTTGGGGCCCAAAATATCTACTATATGGGTACGTAGACCCTTTGGTTTAGGGTTTAGGGCACAGCCGGTTCGCGAGCGTCGCAACCGGCATCTCTAACTAAGCTGCGAATCACGACGGTGACCCTATATGGTCGTGAGCATGATTGTAAGCCATCAAACTCTTAGCCTAAAGGCTCACCAGGGACTAGTCGGACATCGCGGAACTCGAGACAATCAACACGGCCGACAATCCAATAGCCAAGGTCTTCCTGGAGGACGTGTGGCGGCTTTGGAGCCGTCATCTTGCCAGAAAATACCCCCTGCAAAACCACAGTGACTGAATTGAAGCCGTCCAAACCGACGAAGCCAGATCAACAAATCTCCAAACCAGTCTCCGTCCAAAGAAGATAGAAGCTGAAGAGAAAGACACCGGATTCTGGCTGCTTCCTACTCTCGCCATGTCAAGAGGATAGATGAAGCCTCTTCTCTCGCTCTCTTGCAGACTCGGGTTCGTCAGCTGCGAGACAAGCCCTACACTACACTAGGAAGGCTTGCACGCTGGTAAAACCGCCGTGTCTAACCCCTGCGCAGAGACTCCTTCTCAGCTTTGAGGGCGGCTTTCTGAGCCAGTGTGAGGATGCTCCGGAAGTCCTGCGGCAGTCTGCTGGCTGTGCCATCGCTAGGATTCAGGAGACTTCTGATACCAAAAGGATCACCTCTCAATCCCCACAAGCTGCCACAGGCATTCGCCAACGATGAAAAAGCCCCAGAGCAGAATACAGCACTTGCGTTCGGCTTCCGTATGTGAACAAGTCAACACACCCAGAGACTGAGATCGCAAGATGCAAATGTAGATGCGCAGCCACTCAAGGATTTCGACATTTAGGCATGTATGTACAAAGGTAGATACTGTGCATGCGCGTTTACAGGCATGCCTCCTGTGTATGTACACTTCCTGTAGTCTCCATTGTAGTTCCTTTTTGTGGATACCTTATAAAATCCCTAATATATAGTTGGTTAAACCAAAAAAAGAAACTACAATGGAGACTATAGGTTCAATGCGCACACACCGAAGGAAAAGCAATCGGCCTGGGAGTTCTTTGAGACCTCAGCAGAGCATAGTAGGGTTTAGGACAGTCATCGACTTATAGTCTTGCGGGATGTCCGAAGCGACAACATAGGGGCCTTAAGAGTTCGAACATTTAGGGTGTCGACTTCAAGCTTCAACCTGCTGACCTTCAAAGATCCGATCCTCCAAGTAGTGCTTTTTTTGCGTTATGAAGTGTTGGCATCAAGAAGGTTGCAAGGATAAGTGCTGATTCTTGTGGATCCTCTCCTTTTGGGGCTGTGTGGCTGCGGACAGTCTTCTGGCCAGCAAGATCTATCAGGTCGATCCACCTGAATCGCTTCGCTTTCAGGTAATGATGGATTTTGTCCGAAAAGCCCCCAACATTCAGTGCATCTCTCACACGGCGCCTTCCACACATCAAATTAACCGACATTTGCAGTCAAGCTCCCGAAAGAGAAGTCCAATCTCGCACAATCTACAATCCTAATGCCCCAAATCGCGCCCCAAACCCCACGACCAAACGCCTGAACTCGTCTCTTGCCAGCATGGTGGCTTTGCTCAAATCGCACCATCGCTCAGCGCTGAAAGCGTTGCTCATCGGCCTACACCAAGCTGACAAAAAATAAATCACGTTATGGATGACATGGAAACTGCTACTGTCCTTCATGGCTATTTCATGTTGCCTTTCTTCAGGAACATGCTTTCATGGATTGAAGCGCTTGGCACGCTTGCACCTGCAAGCTTCGGACTCTAGGCTTCGCGGTGCGCTTGCAAACGTATTGATCACATGCAGCTGAACGCGGTGCTACAAGCATGACATGAACAACAGAGACCCCCAGGCATCTCGTCGGATCTCCTCAGCCTCTGCATGCCCCCCAAGTTTTCCTAATTGACGATCGCACCGCTATGTCATACGTCTGCCGGGCCTCGCCACTGCACTGCTGCCATGAAGCCAGCAAGCCTGGTTTCTGCGTCAGAAGCTAGCTGATGAGTTGTAACCATATAGTTCTTATTCTTATTACTTATTATGTTTATTACTATAGTGGTTGTGAACATGGCCATTATTAGTATCCAGTCTCCGACTTCAAGACTGGACTGGGGCTGGATATGACCAGAGTCGAGGGCGCATCTTTCGATTTTGCAGGCCACAGCACGTTGGTGTCCTCAAAGTAGGTGAAGACCTCCTGAAAGGCATGGGACATTTCGCAGGAGCTCTACATGTTACATCTCGTCCACCGAAAATCATCGCATCATCTCGTTTTGGGGCTTTACGCTCTCACAACTCGGACAAGCCAGGCGAGGTCTCAGAGGTTGGAGTCGGCGTGACACGGCAGAACACACATCTGCCTACACGCTTTAGGGTTTTAGGTTTCAGGGTAAGATCAAAGGTAAGTTGGCCATGCTATACTTATCCAGAATCCATGCTGATCCAAGACATTCTCTAAACCCTAAACCCTAAACCCTAAACCCTAAACCCTAAACCCTAAACCCTAAACCCTAAAGACATTGACTGCAAGCCAAAGGTGCGCAGTAAAACGTATTCCGGCAAGTGGTCCTCGGGTTCTTAGAGTCGCCACATGTCGCCGCTGCACATGGCTACCTATAGTCTCCATTGTAGTTCCCTGTTTTGGTTTAACTATACTTATATATGAAGGATTTTATAAGGTATCCCCAAAACTATAATTATATATTAAGGGTTTTATAAGGTATCCCTAAAAAGGAACTACAACGGAGACTATAGGTACATAATTAAGCCTGCTCGGAATGACACAGAACGGCATTGGTCCGGACTGACCGGGCTGCGACAACACCAGAAATCAGCAGTTTAGGGTTTAGGGTTTAGGGTTTAGCACAAGCCAAGAAAACTTCGGGTAAAAAACAGGTCGAAGCACAAGACACTACGGCTTCTACTAGACTTGCACAAACCTTCAAAGCTCAGCGTGCAAGCGTAGCACTGGCACACGTTGTAATCCGCAACATACCCGCCGTTGAGGTCGGGGTGATCCGGGTCATCATAACCTTAGCAGCTCTCTGTTTCATTGCTGGCCCGAATCCAAGCCATTGGGTCAGCTTGTGACCTTTGATATTTACCACACTCTCTCTTGTTGCTTGATGACTTTTTTGGCAACTGTCCTTGATTTGCATGTGCCCTCACAAGTAGCAGCCCCCGAATTGGAGCCTGCGATGCCTGCTTACGGCATGCCCCACAGCACAGACTGCGAAAACACTCACCAGCACTTCTTTACACATCTACATACGTCCCACCGGATTTAAAAAAACTTGCTCTGTATGATGTCAGCGTCCTGTACCATCTAGAACACATCCCATGACAGCAAGACTACCACGAGCATAGCATATTAAACCCATAGAGCTGAGGACCTTTCTTTAGGAACAAGAACCTGAAGACGAAGCATCAACACATAATTAAGATAAATATTCAACAAGTTATGATTGTTATCATCGTTGTGTATATTCATATTACTATATTAAGAAATGAGACTTATTTCCTGTCCCATCGCCAGGCTGCCGAAGCCTTCATGCGCACAGCTTCTGCTCAAGATTGGCGCAGCCTTGTCTCATAAAGCTGATGCAGCCGTTTCGTGCGTCTACGGTTTGGAGTAGTGGCTGCTGGTTTAAGGGGGAAACCAGCTGCAAGCACCACTATCGGAGTCGGGATCAGCATGCACTGGTTTTCTGAAAATAGGGGATCCTAATATAGTACCCCAACTAGTAGGATCCTTATTATATAAGCACCCCCCCCAAAACACGGTACCCTGATGTTCGAAAACGTGTTTATGTAGGCTCAACACGCGGTGCACTTCCTCAGGGAAGCCGGTTTAGGAGTTGACACCGTTCCCCCTAGAACCTGCTCTGCGTCCGCGAGGCGAGGCCCAGTGCCAGACTCTGCAGCCAGATGGCTCCCAGCCCCAAAGCGATGCCTCTTCCAGACTGGGAACATCATAAGAGTCACACAGATATATATATATATATATATATGTATATATATATATATATATATGTGTGTGTGTGTGTATGTTTGTGTGTATATTCTATCTCTTGTGCTATACTATACTGTATTTTGTCTTACTTGATTATAGTATAGCATCACATCTGCTCTAAAATCTGTTATATCAAAGAACCTGGCTTTTGCCTTGGTGCTGATTCGCGATATGCACTGCTGATTGGGTTTCGCATGCGAGGGCTCAGACTGCGGCACAAGTGCGGCGAGGACACATGTGATGTCTTTGTGCATGCATCTGGCAAAGACAAGGGGATTGCAACATCATCGAACCAAGCGTGCCGTCTGAAACGTGACGATTTGTTGCTTCTTTGCGGAACTGTGGGCACGCTGACGAAACAACCACCAGTTCTTCCCTGCAACCCAGCCCCGATTGATTGACGGTCAGAATCTGATTTGCAGCAGCCTCGTGGCATCATGGGCCAACCCGTACTCAGCTCTGCAGGCATGGCATAAGTTGTTGGTCTTGTAGAAGGACGACTTAGTGGGGCTGTGGGTGCGATGGCTTAGGGATATCAAGCATTAGAGCCTTGTGCAAACCTTGTCTTGTGGAAGGCCCTTAAACACATAACGCACTATAGCATGGTCTGCCGCTCTGCCAACTTAGCAACTGCGGCTGCAAAAGGGCAGCTGACTTCAGCTGGCATTCATGCTTCCTCGTGCGAACAGCAGCTGTAAGCCCAAGAAGCATGCATCCATGAAGCTACATTCCTGAGGCCCAATTCCGGAACAGCTAGGCACAAGGAGAGACTTTCAGACTTTCCCTTTTTACACCTGGACCCTAGGAGGCTTCTTAGACATGCTGGAGCGGTCTCGCTCTTTTTGTCCTCTCGGTGCTGGGATTTCCCGGGTTGGCCCAGGCCCCCCCTTTCGTGGGGTGGCGGGGACCTGCCTATGAAAACTATGATGGGGTGAACGCTGAACTATGCTGTGACATACTATAACATACTGAATTCTTGTACATGATTTATACACTTATACTAACTTACAGCCTCACCTGTCAGAGTAGCCGAAGTTAACTACGCATGCAAGATCCACCACTCTATCACATAACCCTGGCTTCCAAAATCAAGGCGATACGTTCAAAGCCGCTCCAAGGAGGTATGCAACAGTTCTGAGTCCAGCAACCCACCAAAAGCTGCTACGAAAGTTATCTCACAGATCCTTCCGGCGCTGTTCTTGGGACAATGCTTCAACTCTACAACTTTACACTGAGCGAAACCCATAGCCTTAGGGCTCGGGACAGCAGCCCTGAGCCGAAGACCTGAAGCTGAGGACTCCGGGCTGCTTGTAGTATCGCAGCGCCTGCACATTCACTTTCGGGGTGATATCGAAGATGTGCCTCGCTTGCTCAATGACCGGATATTTATTTAAACAACAATCTAACTTTCAAAGATATAGGCCAAAAAGCGTAAAGTTCTGCCGTTGGCTAAGGTGCAGCACATGGTCCTGGTCCCGCAGCCACACGGCGTAGTTCGCCTTCGGATGCTTCAGCAAGAGCTCTAAGCACTCCGGGGTCGTCCAAGCCGTCCCAATGCCTCCAAGGTAGTGTACTCTGGGGCCGTAGGACAGGTCCAAGTGTCGTGCGTGAAGGGGAATCCAATTCTGTTGCAGAGTTGTCAAGCCAACGGCTGTGTGGTAGGGAACCGAAAACATGGCTTTTCGCGGCACTGCCAGGGCCCTGAGTGATTTCGTGTCGGGATTCCATACCGCCACGTCTACTTCACAAGTCATAGCAGCCACACAATCCTCAAGTGTTTCACAGACGCCAAGATCACGTGCGTACAGCTCCGGCTGCTGGAAGCTCGCATTAGCCCCCACATGCTGGTCCTGGAAAACGAGGAAATTTCCAGACACCTGGGGCGCTTTATGTCGTACGAGCATTGGCTGACCCACAAGATCGTCTTGCATTGTGCCGGAAGTTCGTCGGAAGTTCTTGACTCGGGGTGCCCAGGCCCAGCGCGCGTGGCAAGGCCAGGCCATGGGGCAGAGGAAGAACATGCAGCAAAGGGCCCTCCGGGCATCCCCACTGCAAAGACCTGTTATCATGTCTCCAGACTCCCAGAAAGAAATGGTACATGCACTGCCCACCAAAGAAGAGGTGGCGAGGGGCCAGCGCACTGTGCGCTGGGACCCCAGGCCCTGGATATTCTCGTCTCGGGGCCGCCACGCATACAGAGCATAAAGAGAACCCAAGATGGGGATCCAGCTGAAAAGGGCCTCTCTTCTGCAGGTCCCCAGAAGCAGGTCTCCCGTCTCATAGCCCGAGATGGCGCAAGGAGGGCACAAGCACAGCGAGCAGCGGCTCGGCGGCAGTCGAGCCCCAGCGCTAGAAGCCTCCTCCAAGTACATCAGTGGATCGACTAGAGTCTGCGGTGCCAGGAAACCAGCAGCAATCTTAGCCGAGAAAAAGCATCCGGCCAAGAAGAAGCATCCGGACACGGCTGCCAGCCCTATGATCACAGGAACCATCCAGGGGGGCAGGTAACCATCTTGCACCATACCGTCCAGCTCCTCAGCCGGCGATTTCGTGCCGAGGAACGGCAACTGACACGCCACCACGATGCCCGCAACTGTCGCAATAGGCAGAATGCTATACCGGGCATGGCCCCAACCCATGATGAGATCAGACATGGGCACTCTCTGGCCCCGGAGGAACAGGTCCAGACTGTACACTGAGCTTGAGCATCTACAGGATGAGAAAAAGCGACTCGTGTCCCCGAGCCTAACTCCGAAACAACCCTCCCATTGCAAAATGCGTCCGCTTTTCCAGACCCTGTGCGGCACCCTGGAGCCATTCACTTCCCTTTGAGGTCCCTGGAGCAGTGCCGTGGGTGCAAGCCGCGACGGCCAGCACAGCTGCGTATACTGCTTCTGGCTGCTTCTGCTGGGGTTGAGTGTGGGCTTCGGGGGATGTCGTAGGTTTAGGATTTGAGTTATGGGGATGAAACAGAAATGCTTGACCCGAGGGGTTGCCGGGGGTGGGATATGGGCCTATCTGCAGGAACGGCTTTAGGAGCTTGAACTGCCAGGTTGCGGGTTGGGGCGCATCGCGGAGGGTTCTCCGCTGAGGCTTTACAGTGGGTTGCGAGGATGGCATCAGACTTTAGGGTAACTCCTGGTGCTTTTAAAGGAGATACATGCATGCGCACATGTGCAGAATACAAACACATGGATGGCATGCAAGTGTGCATGCATAGATGCATGTAGGGATAGATGGAACAACGTATGTATGTATGTATGTATGTATGTATGTATGTATGTATGTATGTATGTACGTGCAAGCATGCTGCAACTGTTAGGTACTGGCAAGCATAGTCCTCCAAAGACAGGACCGAACCCATCGGAATGGATGATCGCAGAAACAAGGCACCAAATGTCAAGACATCTAGTTACTCGGAAGCGGCATCGAGATTTAAGCATGCCCCGCCTATCCTAAAGTTAACTTCGTCCCGGCACCGTGAATATCTCACAAAACACTAAACAGGATTCAGAGACATTCGAAGAAGCATGGCAGCATATGGGAGATGTGCCATCCAGCATCGAGCCTTATATGCAGCATGTCGATCTGCATGTTTCGGACTTTGCAGTTTTCTGCGAATCTGTGCCGGGCACATTGGCCCATGCGGTACTAGCTAGACTTCTCTGCAGATGTGGGATCTTTTGCACATTCGGCAGAAATCCACACACCAAGAACGGTATGCTTTCAAGGGCCTACAGCAAAAATCAGCCCCATGACAATAAGCTTTACTCCCTATAAGCCTTTAAGCCCTTTGGCAACCCTAAACAACCTCTATAATCCTGCGTGCGTGTACCTATAACAAAACAAACATATAAATGTCGAATAACAACTGACAAACACACAGATAAACAGACTAAGAGAAAGAGTCTGTCACTCTGGTCTCTGGCCTTCGATGCCTCCGCAACCTACGCCACAGGTCATATTCCACGATGCCTCTGCAAAGTCAACAAGAAACCTCAGGGTTTCGGATTTGGGATTGCAGGTTTCAGGCGTGACAGGGTTAAGGGAGCGGGTTTCTTGCCATGTGTATATATATATATATGCAGATGTATATATAGATATGTAAAAACAATAAATCAATATATATATATATATATCTATACATATCTAGATAGATAGGTATCGGCGGTTTAGGATGGTAAGGTTGTACGGTTTAGGAGTTTGGCCGTTTGGGTGCCGGTGCAAGTCGCGTCTTTGGAACGCACTGACGACAGTTCGGCAACATGTCCGATTACTCTCATCAGCGTGTCAGCATGATCCGCGCAAAGTCCAGCTGCAAATGCAATCTGCTTTCCGAGGTCTTCCTGTGCTGATACCTGCGGCAATCCTCGAGATTCTGAAACAAGTCGGCGCCGATATCTGACAGAAACAACAGGGGTCCAGGCGACAGCTGCGAGTCAGGCAAGTACCTGCAGACCAGCTCCATGCACTCATGGACACTTCGCAGACACACAGGAAGACAATTTCAATATTTCGTTACATTACTCATATTTCTGTTCCCTCCTGGCTGGCCCTTCTCACTCGTTTCAAGCCAATGGCTCAAGTCCATGTTGGTGTGAAGGCTGCGAAAACATGGCCATGTGTTGCTTCGAAGTCTCATTCCAAACCGTACTGGGCACTTTCCAGCAGGAGCCGTCGCCACCTTATGTACAGTATGCCGAAGCACTAACGTGCGATGAGCTTGGAGCGACCCGATGGTTCGGTTTAGGGTTTAGGTTGGATCCCTGCTATAGCCACCCCTTGAAAAAAGCAAGGCACCAGCAATTCCAGCTAGGGAAATCCTTGCGCAAAGCTGCATGGGGCTGATAATCCTTCCGACCTATCCGGTTTCGTGGAACACAACCTGTTGCTCTGGCCTGTATATCGAAAGTGCGCCCAGTACTCTGTGCAGCGGCAACGGCGGTGGAAACGGCAACACCAGTCTCAACGGCGAAACGATGAGACCAACAATGGCAATAACCAGCAGACTCACGAACACAAGGTGTCCTTGGAACAGTATGAACCACTGATTGTGCTCAAGTGGCAATCACGACAACAAGTAAGCAATCAAAAACCAATGTTTGCAGTGCATGGCGTGCACACACACACACACATGCACGCAACAAACAAGCAAACCAGGGCCCCAGCAGATTTCGCAGCGGGTGACGGAGACGGAGTGGACTCAGGCGACCTTTGCCTGGACACCTCACCGGGCCTTAGCAGGCAGCTGATACTCTCAGGGTTTAGGGTTTTGGGTTTTTTTTCTCACCCGCTTCGCTGACTAGGGTTTTGGGTTTTGGGTTTAGGGTTTGGGGTTTGGCCATCATCGGCAACCTTTCAAGCCTAACCGGACCAAACCCTGATTCTGGGGATTTCAGGGAGGATCTGGTGTTTGAGTTCATAAAATCTTCAGACGTGGTGTTCAGGCTCCGGACTCAGGACAAACGCTTAGGCTCTCAGGTGTTAGCGTAGCATACAATAGGCTTGTAGTTTTAGGATAATCCTCACTGTGAATGCAGGCTTATCACTTCTCAGTTAATCCCCTTCTATGAGAGTCGATAATTTCCAGCTACCAACAGCTTTCCCGAAACAGTGGCTCAGTTGGCAAGGTGTTTCCGCTGTCACACGCGGCGAACAGCGTAGACAGTCGCGTCTCCGAAACTCATTTCCACAGGAATCCGCATGGCACCTCGGCTGGACATCAGGTGATAAAGTGTGAAGCTTGGAGACCTGTGCAGACTGCCAAGTTGGTATGGTTGCCCAGAATGAGGATGATGAAAAGTGCTATCCTGTAACCAACTTCTGGTGTCTTTTCCAGCTGGGGATTCGGAATGTCATTTTGAGGTGGGCCTGTCGGTTCTTGCTTTTTTTATGGTGCCGGAGGCTCGTGGAGCTCGGGTGTCTGGGCCGGTTTTGCAAGGCTGCTATTGTGCTTGTATCGCCTACCGCACCAAAGCCCCCACCATCCAAGAGCCCTGAAGCCCTGAACCTCTAAGCCCTAAACCCTCCTGGATCCAGTACTCAGAAGGACCCATACAAAGCCCTATAAATCCGCATGAAGACTCCGCAACTTGACAAGACTCCCACACACAGCCTCTGAACACCGTACAAACCCAAAGGGTCCAAGTTAGAGTATGGTATATACCTTGGGGGCCCAAATACCTACAAAGTAGCTACCATATTAGTACTTGGACCCTTTGGGAAAGGCCTGAAGAAAACACGGCTGCTGGTGAGCCACCGTCGACCAGTATCGGCTCAAAGCCCGGCGAAGATTCCGCGAAGTGTGGATCCATAGTTCTTAGGGATAGTGACGGGGTTTGTAGGCTTCGTAAGCTACATTCTTGGCATTCTTGGCTGTAGGATTGTGGTCTTTAGGCTTGGGGTTTCTTAAGCTAGTCTCGAGTCTTACAACTCGAACTCGGCAGGCAAGGCATCCACGCAGAAGCGTCCATCATTACTGTCAGCGCAGGCTGCCAGCAGTTGTAACAGTCGGGTTTTGGGTGTTTTAGGTTTAGGCTTTGGAGTGGTAGAGTTTGGTATTTCTCAGCCCAGAGTTCTCCAGGTCTCTGCTATCCAATGGCATAGCACCATTCGTCTATGAAGCTAAGCATATGCAATCGAGTCTGACTGTGTGTAACACATATGTGCATGTGTGTATGTGTATGTGTATGTATGTATAATCTATGTGCGAACGTATGTATGTACGTATGTATGCACATATTTATGTATGTAAGGGAAGCTACTATGTCATGACGTGATATGACTTGTCATGCGTTGAACTGACTTGATATGACAAGATATGACACGGCACAATGCACTATAATTATGAAAATGCTAACATACATGCATACAACAAAAGATCCTTTGCGAAACACCATGTTACATTGCAGTACATTACGTGACATGCGTGCAGAGCAGTACATCGGTGCCTGCCTACAGGCACACATCAACAAACAACCAATCAACCGAACAAACGAAGACTCTTGCATGCGTGTGTGCATAGTTACCTACATATTTACATACGTACGGACTTACATACTTAGTGACTGCATACAAAAGCATGCCCTTTTTGAAGCAATGGACTTGGTGAATGCCAGCACACATGACCCTTGAGCAATGATAGGTGTAAGAGTACAGACCGAGTTTGCATAGTCTTGTTTATTGATTATTGACCCACAATGGAAGTAAGCGGGAACGATAACAATGCTGTCATATGCGTAGCACTATGCTCGTCACAGCTCGTGTTCCCTCTCACAGCTGGCGATGCAGCCTTCATCGTCCAATCTTCTGGCATGTTCAACAAGTCCAAAACGCAGTTGTCATCCGAATTATTTTCTCTTTCTCTCTCTCGCTCGCTCGCTCGCTCGCTCGCTCGCTCGCTCGCTCGCTCTCTCTCTCTCTCTCTCTCTCTCTCTCTCTCTGTCTTTCTACACAGACCTAATCTTACGAAGATATATACCATATAACTACA